GTTGAGCTGTGCAAGCTGCTTTCCACCGGTACTCCTCATACTCATCCTCGTCATAGTCGTGGTCGGGAGACTAATCCTGGTCCTTGTCAGCGTCCTCATCACCTCTTGAGATGATGGAGTGTCTCTGATAGACAGTATCTACAGGCTTCGTTCACAGTTCCGTCAGGCAGCTTCTTCCCAAGTTATAGCCCCATCCTCTCCTGCAGCAGCTCGAATATCGTCCTCCTCCTCCTCCTCCTCCTCCTCCCCCCACCCACCCTCGCGCTTTCCTCTTCTTCCTCCTCCTCCCCTCTCTCCTAGTCCGCTTCCTCCTCGTCTCACCTCCCCTCCTCGAGCATGCAGCATTGCGATCGCGTGGTGTCTGCCGCAGGAGAGCAGGACCTCTTGGCACTCCCCCAGGTTGGCAAAGTGCTGAGCAAAGAGAAATGAGGGGAGGGGAGGAGGAGCATGGGTTAGCGGTGAAGGAGCACAGACAAAGGATAACAGAAGGAGGAAGAGAGCGGGAAGAGGAGAGAGACGGAGGCGAGGAGGACGGAGGGAGTGAGGGAGATGCCAGGAGAGGCAAGGAGAGAATGTGTGGGTGGGTGTTGAAGGAAATGCGATGAGCAAGAGAAGGAACGGAGAGGTGGAGGTGGAGAAATATGATGATGATGATGATGATGATGATGATGATGATGATGATGATGATGATGATGATGATGATGATGATGATGATGATGATGATGATGATGATGATGATGATGATGATGATGATGATGATGATGATGATGATGATGATGATGAACATGAACATGAACATGAACATGAGGAAGACAAGGAGGAGTAAGGTGGAGGGAGGGGCTGGGAGGAGTTGAGAGGATTCACCTCAGACTGGAGGAGGCTGACGAGCTTGCTGGGGTCTGTGGAGGCGAGGAGCTTGACGAGGTAGTTATCAAGCTTAACGATGTCAACATGTCTAATGAGATTCCTGCCATGAGAGTGAAAAATGACGATGAGGAAGGAGAAGGAGGAGGAGAAGTTCGTGGCTGAAGAGGAAGAGGGAGAGAAGGAGGAGGAGGAGGAGGAGGAGGAGGAGGAAGAAAGATGATGAAGAGGAGCAAGAGGAGGAGAGCGCTCGACCGGATGACGAAACTGCGAGCGAACTGAAAGATGGAGGACAAGGTTTGTCTAAACTCTTCCTTGTGCTCTTCTACCCAGACCTCCTCCTCTTCGTCCGACAGGAGAGCATTGGAGGACCTTAGACGACTCAGGATGAGCAGGTCTAGCATGGTCTTGCCCTCCTTGTCCCCTCCGTCCCCTCTTGGCATCGCATGCTTCATTCTCTCCCAGAGCCTCTCCTTGGCCTCCTGGCGGATGCTGCGGGAGGGCTCGAGGTAGCTGGACGGCCGTCAGCGGAGCTGAAGGGAGAGGGGTAACACCTGAGGAGATCGCAAGGATCGAAGAGGCTGAAGACGTCGCGTCCTGCTACCGTGGTGAGAGCGGGAGGGCGAGGAGGAGGACGGGGAGGAGGAAAACGTGATGGTGGAGGTAGAGAGAAGCTTGTGGTTGTGCAGATATGCAAAAGGAGGAGAGAAGGAGGAGGAGGAGGAGGAGGAGGAGGAGGAGACGGAAGAGAGACGGAAGAGAGACGGAGGAGAGATGGAAGAGAGTTGGAGGGGAGGAGAAAAGAAGGAAGGGGGGGGATGGGGAGGAGGATGGGGAGGAGGAGGTGTAGGGGAGGTAGGAGGTAATGACAGTGATAGTGACAGTGGTGGTGGTGGTGGTGCAAGCAAGAGGGAGGAGGGTCCTCGACTTCATCCTCACCATCAACTTGCATCCTGATCGCCCTCTTGAAGAAAGGAACGCTCTCCTGCACCCTCAGTCTGAGCTCGGGGCAAGTTGCCCAAACATCCCCGCTACCTTGAACCGCAGCAGGTGCAGCAGGCTGTACGCTACCTCCTTCAATTCCACGTGTCAACACAGCATCTTCCTCGTCCTCGTCCTCGTCCTCGTCCCCTCCTCCCAGCACAGGTACCTCGTTCAGCCACATCCGGGTCGATATGGACGGAGGAACGCTGCTCGCCTCCTGCTGGGCGTCAGACGCCGAGATGTCAAGCTGCGCTGCTCCGCACCTCCTCCTGCCTCTCTTCCGCCAGTCGCGCGGCGCAGCTCACCAGGAGCTGATGATCGACGTCGCTGCATGCAAGTCGTTGAGTTGGGGAGGCAGCGGAAGGAGGAGGAGGAGGTTCAGCAGCAGCAGCAGCAGCAGAAAGTGCAGGAACAAGCAAAGGAGCGGGAGCGGGAGAGCGGGAGCAGGAGCATGCCATTTCTCGGTAACGTGGTTGACGGACCTTATATGAAGGACTTGTCTTACTTGATGTTCCCTTGTAGACATCTGAAAATTTCTATCAGCGCGCAGGAGGGGAGGAAAACAATCAGCCCAACAGCAAGGCAAAACACTGATGTGTGCGATGCCGAGAAAACACGGCGATTGTCAACGCAGCAGGTTCCTGTCATGGTTGACGTTTTCAACAGCACAGCAGTTGCTAAGTTGTGTCTTGCTCAAAGTGTTGGAGGGATGCATCGATGTATGAGAAATCATTTTGAAGTGATAGCGTACAATGACGTGTTATAGCATTCTTGTCTCAACAAGTGAAATGATGGAATGAATGCGATCAGAGCATGTAAGGCAACCTTGAGTTGAAGAGACGTTCGAGAAGCGTTGGACGGGAGTGCTCAGCATTGACTTGAGCCTCACATTGTATGCTTCGATGTTGTCTGAACCATCATCACCGTCATCATCATCATCCACAACAACAACAGCATCATCATCATCATCGTCATCGTCATCGTCATCGTCATCGTCATCATCGTCGTCGTCGTCGTCATCATCATCATCATCATCATCATCATCATCATCATCATCATCATCATCATCATCATCATCATTCATACTTCCTCTCCGAAGCAACAGGTACTGATGGCACACGATGATCTAGCACACAAAATGTCACATGACGAAACGAGCAATACTTCCCACCTCCCACTCCTCCCTCCCTCCCCTCCCTCCCCCTTTTTCGCTCCCCTGCTCCTCGCTCCTCCCCTCCCACCCCTCCCTCCCTCCTCCTCTCCTCGCTCCTTCCCTCCCTCTTCCTCGTTCGTCTTCTTGTCCAGCCTTTACCTCGTCAGCCGGCTCTTCCCACTCCATGATGACGCTAAGTTGCGTGACCTTGGCATCTGCAACAAACAAAGTCAGAATGAGCAGCAGAGCTATCCTCAACGTCTTTCAGAGTAGCTATCTCCACTGCCGTACTCATCATCCTCCGCTTCCTCCCT